AAACAATATTATAATACACAAAAAAAACTGATAAAGCATGCTTTTAAATGGTTGAATCACATTTGCTCAGTCCTTTAAAAAAAATCATAATTCTTGGGATAAAGTAAAATATAAAATAGAGAAAACATATTCAGAAATATAATAATCCTAATATAAATACGCACAATATCATACGTCTCTTTTCAAGATTCAAAAGTCTACAAACGATACAGAACAATATGTTCAATAAATCATAAAACAAAAACTTCCATTAGGAAGAAGATATTTTAAATAAGTAAGAATGTCCTGTACAGTCCATTCATTTAAGCACAGTACAGAGGATTGAGGATCAACCTCAATGTGTTCACTCTTTCATACATTTCTTCATTCTCTGAAGAGGACGTCCACGCAGGACTGACTGTGTCGACACAAGTGGAGCCCTCTGTAAAGAGAAGTATGAAAAAGCTCAGCTTAATTTTTTTGTAGCAGCTTCATTCATTCTCAGCGATTCACTGAATAAACGGTAACATTAGATTCTAACTGTGTTACTACTTTCAAGGTCATTATGTATGTATTCTTACTTAGATCCAGTATGTAGTCGTGTTTCTCTATATTAGTCTGTCAATGCTCTTGTATACTTGGGGAGGCATGTCGATGTCCGACTTACTGCAAAAAAAAAACAAAACAAAACAAAACACAGACATCGGTCAGCCCAACTGTGGTGGTTAACACAAATAAAATATCATAGAACGAATAAATATCATAGAACAGAAGTGTAGGTTGTATAAGAAGCCATAACTCACCTTAGGTCAAACTTTTCAGCTGTAAGAAAAACAAAAATGAATATAATTAACATTAGTTTCTAGTTATTCACATTAATACACTATTACCAACATCCTCATATATTTACAAAACAGTGCAAAAAAACATCTGCTCACCTTTCTGCCTGAGTTTCTTCATTATCCAGAGAGCCAGAGCGAGGCTGGACACACTAACGCCTCCTGCTACTCCTGGTGTCAGGCCGGTCACCAAGGGTGGACTCAACAGGGGCTCAGGAGGAGCTGGACACAAAAAGAAGGAAAAATAAAGATCATTAATATGGGCTGTACTTCATTCTATATCTTTCAAACATGCAGCTCAAGTGTGGTTTGACTGTCTTACCTTGGCACTCAGCTGCCGCTCCAGACCAGCTGCCGGTGAGGTTGCACGTCACCACCTCATCGCCGAGCAGACTGTAGCCATTCAAACAGGTGAAAGAACAGGAAGTGCCGATGATGGCCTCCTCAGAGGAACAGGTCATGAGGCCATTGTCCGGCTTCTGGAGGTACGGACATGTCACTGCTGTGGAGGGGCAGTAGAGAGGGGAAAACTTTAATGAACTTCTCGCTCAGAGAAGATATGAATATTTACTTGAACAAATAAAAATGGATGCAGCATATTTATTACAAATAAACATGCTCATCATTTGCTATAGTATTATGGTAGCTGAAAAAATATGACATGTCATCAACACAGTTTTGTCCTTCAGTTTCCTTACTTTTAAATGCAACAATTGTGTCAATGTAATGTTTAATTAAGGTGGAAAAGATCTACATTTTATCCAGTAAATTCATTGCTTTTTCACTGTAGACTATTCCATTAAAACATTCACTAGTTGGTGCTGTGGGCTGCTGTTAACTAGATAATGACTCTGGCTGATTTTAACTGACCCATATCCTCCATTGTCCTTGCATTTTATTTCGTCTCTTCATGTCCACTTGCGACGTCCATACAGGTAAATGTACCAAAAGAGGCATAGTTTACTTTTAGATGACCTTTTTCCATTCTCTCCTTATCCTTTTCAAGCATTTTTTTGTTATTAGGCTTTACGAATTGAATGTAAATAAATGTAAATGAGCTCTTTTCTGATTGGTTGCCTCAGTTGTGAATCATTCAAAAAGCAGTCCAGACTGAAACACTCTTTATAACGTCTGTTTCGGTGGGCGGGGCTAAAATACTTTAGAATGAGTGGATGTATGACTGTGATATGCAAAGGAATTCCAAACAGGCTGCTTTTTGCAGATTGGACTGTCTATGGACCGCAGTAGAGGTCTGCACTACCACAGATACCCGCAGGACCCTCAGGACCCGCCCCAATATCTTGTGAACTATTGAACTAATTTTCAGTGTTACTCCCGGGAGCAGGCAGGAAATTAGCCTAAATAACGCATCACTCACACTAGGCAGAGGAAACAGGTAAATCGGACGGAGAGAAATGGCAGAGCCTTCAGTCTGACGGCCACAGCTGCCCAGCATAGCACCAAAAATAACCACTCTGTGGTTTAATTCCTGCTTTGTGTTTACTGGGAATAAATGGCATTTGGTGAAGTTACTCACAGTGAGCCTGATGACCGTGACTGCAGTGTTATTTCAGCAGAGAATAATGTATTTGTGATTAGACTGGGTCAGATATTGGCTGTGAGCGGCACTGGTTAGAAGCGAGTGGGGCAAATCGTTTTGGTTGCGGGCGGGAGCAGGATAAATGATTTTCTGAGGGAGCGGGATGAAATCTCATGGGAGCAGGCGGGAGCGGGACTGAAAAACAGTTTCGCAGACCTCTAGACCATAGTTTCCTTGGTTATGGTGCTTTCAATGCTCAGACTTTGTTGAAATGCTACAAAATTCTTCTGCTATACATAAACACTGTAAAACTAAGTATGCATTGCTAACTGCGAGTAGCAGGATGTAAATGGAAAGACTGGCATCAGTGAGTTTTCATAAAGCCCATGTTTGAAATGACAATTTTGGTACACTAGTTTTTTTTGTCATCGTAGTACTAAATGACGACTACTTCCCTCCCCAAGGCCACATGCTAGCAAAACAAGACTATAGACAGAAATTAAATGAAAGAGTGATATTCTACTGTACCTGTGCAGCTTGGTGTGGCTGTGCTCCATTCTCCTGTCACTGTGCACTCAGTACTCGCTGCCCCCTGGAGCTCAAAGCCTGCCTCACAGCTGAAGTAGCAGGTTGAGGTGACTGTGAGGTCGTCTGAGCTTCCGCTGCATCCAAATGTTAGGGGAGCCTGCACATCTGGCAGCTTGCATCTGATAGCTGGGAAAATATATGTACACATCAGTGATGGTTCAGTTGGTGGAAAAGTTTCTGTTTGTTCTACCAGGATTTTAATAAGTCTGGCACCTTTGCTTATGTATATATGAACATTCAAGCTTATAAAGGGTCAGGTTCTGCTTCTTACCTTCACAGTAAGGTACCTCCTGGCTCCACTGTGCAGACACAGTGCAGGTAATTTCTGGCGCCCCCTGAAGGTGAAACCCATTACTACAGCTGAAGCTGCAGCTGCTGCCAAAACTTTCACCACTGCAGATCATTCTGCCATTCGCAGGGTCCTCGAGAACTGGGCACTGAACAGCTGTGGGACAGGAATTATAGATGAAGTCAGGTTGATGTGCACATAGATAAAAGCAATATTGCCTCGGAAACTAGCAATTTCATCAACATGTAGTTTTCTTAAAGGCTCACTCTATGACTTTAAACCCAATTTATTTACATTCAAGCATGGAAGGTGTTGAGCTCTTTTATGCTTCAAGAGTTTGATCTAAGAATTTGAGGGGGGCACCGTACTACAGCTTTATAGCAAAATAAGTCTAAGTGTCCATTTTATCATTGTAAAATCACAGTGTATCTTTAAGGTTTTTGCTAATTGCAGCTTCTTACCTTCACAGGTGGGCTGAGAATCATTCCAGTGTCCACTGGCTTCACACACCAGCTTGCTGGAGCTTGAGCCTGTTAGTGTGTATCCTTCCTCACAGGTAAACTCACAGGAGGACTGATAACCAAAATGTCCCAGTGGATGATCACACTGCATGGAGCTGTGAAGAGGCTCAGTCAGATCAGAGCACTGGACAACTGTGAAAACAAGGATAACATAACAAAGAGGCTTATTAGTCAAGTATTTAGTCTCAAAATATTAAATGAAGCTTATAAAAGGTCAAGTTCTGCTTCTTACCTTCACAGTAAGGTATCTCCTCGCTCCACTGTGCAGACTTGGTGCAGTTAATTTCTGGCGCCCCCTGAAGGTGAAACCCATCATTACAGCTGAAGATGCAGCTGCTGCCGTAACGATCACCACTGCAGTTGATCCTGCCATTCGCAGGGTGCCCAAGAGTTGGACATTGAACAGCTGTGGGACAGGAATTATAGATGAAGTTAGGTTAATGTGCACATAGCTAAAAGCAATTTCATCAACATGTAGTTTTCTCAAAGGCTCACTTTATAATTTTAAATCCAAAGTATTTACAGTCAAGCACAGAACGTGCTAAGTTCTTTTTTGCTTCAAGAGTTTTGTCTAAGAGTTTGAAGGGGGAAGCGTACTGCAGCTTTACATCAAAATAAGTGTAAAGGTCCACTGTATCATGGTAAAATCATAGTGCACCTTCACAGGTGGGCTGAGAATCATTCCAGTGTCCACTGGCTTCACACACCAGCTTGCTGGAGCTTGAGCCTGTTAGTGTGTATCCTTCCTCACAGGTAAACTCACAGGAGGACTGATAGCCAAAGCTGCCTAGTGGATGATCACACTGCATGGAGCTGTGACGAGGCTCAGTCAGATCAGAGCACTGGACAACTGTGAAAAAGGAAACAATAACAAAGAGGCTTATTGGTCAAGTATTTAGTCTCAAAATATTAAATGAAGCTTATAAAAAAGGTCAAGTTCTTCTTCTTACCTTTGCAGTGAGGTATCTCCTCGCTCCACTGTGCAGACTTGGTGCAGGTCATTTCTGGTGCCCCCTGAAGGTAGAACCCATCGTAACAGCTGAAGTTGCAGCTGCTGCCATAACTATCACCACTGCAGATGATTTTGCCATTCGCAGGGTCTTCAAGAGTTTGGCATTGAACAGCTGTGACACAGAAATGGTAGATGAAGTCAGGTTGATGTGCACCAAGCTGAAACAATTTGTTCATCAGCTAGATTTCTCAAAGGCCCACTGTATAATTTGAAACACATTTAATTTACATTCGAGCATGGAACTTGTTTAGTTTCTTTCATGCTTCAAGAGTTTCATCTAAAAATGTAAGGGGGCAGCATACTACAGCTTTACAGCAAAATAAGTGTAAAGGTCCACTTTGTCGTTGTTAAATCACAGTGTACCTTTTAGGTTTTTGCTAATTGCAGCTTCTTACCTTCACAGGTGGGCTGAGAATCATTCCAGTGTCCACTGGCTTCACACATCAGCTTGCTGGAGCTTGAGGGTGTTAATGTGTATCCTTCCTCACAGGTAAACTCACAGGAGGACTGATAGCCAAAGCTGCCTAATGGATGATCACACTGCATGGAGCTGTGAAGAGGCTCAGTCAGATCAGAGCACTGGACAACTGTGAAAAAGGAAACAATAACAAAGAGGCTTATTAGTCAAGTATTTAGTCTCAAAATATTAAATGAAGCTTATAAAAAAGGTCAAGTTCTGCTTCTTACCTTTGCAGTGAGGTACCTCCTGGCTCCACTGTGCAGACTTGGTGCAGGTCATTTCTGGCGCCCCCTGAAGGTGAAACCCATCATTACAGCTGAAGCTGCAGCTGCTGCCATAACTATCACCACTGCAGATTATATTGCCGTTCGCAGGGTGCTCAAGAGTTGGACATCGAACAGCTGTGGGACAGGAATTATAGATGAAGTCAGGTTAATGTGCACATAGATAAAAGCAATATTGCCTTGGAAACTAGAAAGTTCATCAACATGTAGTTTTCTTAAAGGCTCACTTTATAATTTTAAACCCAAAGTATTTACAGTCAAGCACGGAACGTGTTAAGTTGTTTTTTGCTTCAGGTGTTTTGTCTAAGAGTTTGAAGGGGGAAGCGTACTGCAGCTTTACAGCAAAATAAGTGTAAAGGTCCACTTTGTCATTGTAAAATCATAGTGTACCTTTAAAATATGTGCTATCTGCAGCTTCTTACCTTCACAGATGGGCTGAGAATCATTCCAGTGTCCACTGGCTTCACATATCAGCTTGCTGGAGCTTGAGCCTGTTAGTGTGTATCCTTCCTCACAGGTAAACTCACAGGAGGACTGATAGCCGAAGCTTCCAAGTGGATGATCACACTGCATGGTGCCGTGAGGAGGCTCAGTCAGATCAGAGCACTGGACAACTGTGAAAAAGAAAACAATAACAAAGAGGCTTATTAGTCAAATATGCAAAATACAAAAAATAAATGTTGCTTAATGTCTGCTTTCTTACCTTTGCAGTAAGGTACCTCCTGGCTCCACTGCGCAGACTGGGTGCAGGTAATTTCTGGCGCCCCCTGAAGTTGGAACCCATCATTACAGAAGAAGTTGCAGCTGCTGCCGTAACTACCACCACTGCAGTTGATTCTGCCGTTCGCAGGGTCCTCAAGAACTGGGCAACGAACAGCTGTGACACAGAAATTGTAGATTAAGTCAGGTTGATGTTCACCAAGCTGAAACAATTTGTTCATCAGCTAGATTTCTCAAAGGCCCACTGTATAATTTGAAACGCATTTAATTTACATTCAAGCACAAAATGCGTTTAGTTTCTTTCACGCAAACAGCTTTACAGCAAACTAAGTGTAAAGGTCCACTTTGTCGTTGTAAAATCACAGTGAGCCTTTAAGGTTTTTGCTAATTGCAGCTTCTTACCTTCACAGGTGGGCTGAGAATCATTCCAGTGTCCACTGGCTTCACACATCAGCTTGCTGGAGCTTGAGCCTGTTAGTGTGTATCCTTCCTCACAGGTAAACTCACAGGAGGACTGATAGCTGAAGCTTCCCAACGGATGATCACACTGCATGGAGCTGTGAAGAGGCTCAGTCAGATCAGAGCACTGGACAACTGTGAAAACAAGGATATCATAACAAAGAGGCTTATTAGTCAAGTATTCGATCTCAAAATATTAAATGAAGCTTATAAAAGGTCAAGCTCTGCTTCTTACCTTCACAGTGAGGTATCTCCTCGCTCCACTGTGCAGACTTGGTGCAGGTCATTTCTGGCGCCCCCTGAAGGTGAAACCCATCATTACAGCTGAAGCTGCAGCTGCTGCCGTAACTATCACCACTGCAGTTGATCCTGCCATTCGCAGGGTCCTCAAGAGTTGTACATTGAACAGCTGTGGGACAGAAATTATAGATGAAGTCAGGTTGATGTGCACATATTTAAACACAACAGTGCCTTGGGAGCCAGCAATTTCTTCAACATGTAGATTTCTCAAAAGCTCACTCCTTCTAAAATTTTAAACCCAAAGTAATTACATTCCAGTATGAACTGTGTTGAGTTCTTTTATGCTTTAAGAGTTTTATCTAAAAATGTGAAGGCAGCAACCTACTGTAGCTTTATAGAAAAATAAGTGTAAAGGTCCACTTTATCATTGTAAAATCAAATGTGCCTTTAAGGTGTATGTTAATTGCAGCTTCTTACCTTCACAGGTGGGTTGAGAATCATTCCAGTGTCCACTGGCTTCACACATCAGCCGACTAAAGGTTGAGCCCGTTAGTGTGTATCCTTCCTCACAGGTAAACTCACAGGAGGACTGATGGCCGAAACGTCCTATTGGATCATCACACTGCATGGAGCTGTGAAGAGGCTCAGTCAGATCAGAGCACTGGACAACTGTGAAAACAAGAGCAAAATAACAAGGAGGCTTATAAGTGAAGTGTTTAATCTAAAAATATTAAATGAATCTTATAAAAGGTCAAGTTCTTCTTCTTACCTTTGCAGTGAGGTGCCTCTTGGCTCCACTGTGCAGACTTCATGCAGGTAATTTCTGGCGCCCCCTGAAGTTGGAACCCATCATTACAGCTGAAGCTGCAGCTGCTGAGATAACTATCACCACTGCAGATTATATTGCCGTTTGCAGGGTCCTCAAGAGTTGGGCATCGAACAGCTATAGTAAAGAATTTAGAGATTAGGTCAGGTTGATGTTCACCTACCTAAAAGCAGTAGTGTCTTGGAAACTACCAGTTTCATCAACATGTAGTTTTCTCAAAGGCTCACTTTATAATTTTAAACCCAGAGTATTTACAGTCAAGCACAGAACGTGTTAAGTTCTTTTTGGCTTCAGGAGTTTTGTCAAAGAGTTTGAAGGGGGAAGGATACTGCGGCTTTACAGCAAAATAAGTGTAAAGGTCCACTTTATCATTGTGAAATTACAGTGCTAACTGCAGCTTCTTACCTTCACAGATGGGCTGAGAATCATTCCAGTGTCCACTGGCTTCACACATCAGCTTGCTGGAGCTTGAGGGTGTTAGTGTGTATCCTTCCTCACAGGTAAACTCACAGGAGGACTGATAGCTGAAGCTTCCCAACGGATGATCACACTGCATGGAGCTGTGAAGAGGCTCAGTCAGATCAGAGCACTGGACAACTGTGAAAACAAGGATATCATAACAAAGAGGCTTATTAGTCAAGTATTCGATCTCAAAATATTAAATGAAGCTTATAAAAGGTCAAGTTCTTCTTCTTACCTTCACAGTGAGGTACCTCCTGGCTCCACTGTGCAGACTTGGTGCAGGTCATTTCTGGCGCCCCCTGAAGGTGAAACCCATCATTACAGCTGAAGCTGCAGCTGCTGCCATAACTTTCACCACTGCAGATGATTCTGCCGTTCGCAGGGTCTTCAAGAGTTGGGCATTGAACAGCTGTGACACAGAAATGGTAGATTAAGTCAGGTTGATGTGCACCTAACTAAACAACTTGATCATGAGGTAGATTTCTCAAAGGCCCACAAGTTTTATTTGAAATCCATTTAATTTACATTCGAGCATGAAACGTGTTTAGTTTCTTTCATGCTTCAAGAGTTTCATCTAAAAATGTAAGGAGTGCACCGTACTGCAGCTTTACAGCAAAATAAGTGTAAGGGTCCACTTTGTTGTTGTAAAATCACAGTGTACCTTTTAAGGTGTGATTCTTACCTTCACAGATGGGGTGAGAATCATTCCAGTGTCCACTGGCTTCACACATCAGCTTGCTGAAGCTTGAGCCTGTTAGTGTGTATCCTTCCTCACAGGTAAACTCACAGGAGGACTGATAGCTGAAGCTTCCCAACGGATGATCACACTGCATGGAGCTGTGAAGAGGCTCAGTCAGATCAGAGCACTGGACAACTGTGAAAAAGGAAACAATAACAAAGAGGCTTATTAGTCAAGTATTTAGTTTCAAAATATTAAATGAAGCTTATAAAAAAGGTCAAGTTCTGCTTCTTACCTTCACAGTAAGGTATCTCTTTGCTCCACTGTGCAGACTTGGTGCAGGTAATATCTGGCGCCCCCTGAAGGTGAAACCCATCATTACAGCTGAAGCTGCAGCTGCTGCCATAACTTTCACCACTGCAGATGATTCTGCCGTTCGCAGGGTCTTCAAGAGTTGGGCATTGAACAGCTGTGACACAGAAATTGTAGATTAAGTCAGGTTGATGTGCACCTAACTAAACAACTTGATCATGAGGTAGATTTCTCAAAGGCCCACAAGTTTTATTTGAAATCCATTTAATTTACATTCGAGCATGAAACGTGTTTAGTTTCTTTCATGCTTCAAGAGTTTCATCTAAAAATGTAAGGAGTGCACCGTACTGCAGCTTTACAGCAAAATAAGTGTAAAGGTCCACTTTGTCGTTGTTAAATCACAGTGTACCTTTTAAGGTGTGATTCTTACCTTCACAGATGGGCTGAGAATCATTCCAATGTCCACTGGCTTCACACATCAGCTTGCTGAAGCTTGAGCCTGTTAGTGTGTATCCTTCCTCACAGGTAAACTCACAGGAGGACTGGTAACCAAAATGTCCCAGTGGATGATCACACTGCATGGAGCTGTGAAGAGGCTCAGTCAGATCAGAGCACTGGACAACTGTGAAAGCAAGAACAGCATAACAAAGATGCTTATTTGTCAAGTATTCAGTCTCAAAGTGTGAAATAAATTGTGTAAATAATCTGCTTTCTTACCTTCGCAGTGAGGCCTGTTCTGGCTCCACTCTGCAGATTCTGTGCAGGTAATTTCTGGCGCCCCCTGAAGGTGGAACCCTTTATTACAGCTGAAGATGCAGCTGCTGCCGTAACTATCACCATTGCAGTTGATCCTGCCGTTCGCAGGGTCCTCAAGAGTTGGGCATTGAACAGCTATGGGACAGAAAATACTGGTCAGGTTGATGTTCACCTAGCTAAAAAAAAACAGAGCCTTGGAAACCAGAAATTTGATCATCATGTAGATTTCTCAAAGGATTTAAATCCAATTTATTTACTTTCAAGCACGGAAGGTGTTCAGTTGTTTTATGCTTCAAGAGTTTCAAGTTTGAGGGGGGCACCGTAAATCTTTACAGCAAAATAAATGTAAAGGTCCACTTTGTCGTTGTTAAATCACTGTGTACCTTTGAGGTTTTTGCTAATTGCAGCTTCTTACCTTCACAGATGGGCTGAGAATCATTCCAGTGTCCACTGGCTTCACACATCAGCTTGCTGGAGCTTGAGCCTGTTAGTGTGTATCCTTCCTCACAAATAAACTCACAGGAGGACTGATAGCTGAAGCTTCCCAACGGATGATCACACTGCATGGAGCTGTGAAGAGGCTCAGTCAGATCCGAGCACTGGACAACTGTGGAAACAAGGATATCATAACAAAGAGGCTCATGGATGGATTAGATAATAAAAAGCAAACATCTATGACAAACATGTCTGCAATTTTTTTTTAATTTAAACAGGGTCCACATTAAATTTGCTCACGTTCACAGGTTGGTGGTTTGGTTGACCAAGCTGCTGAGGCTTTGCACCGTGTTGTTTGTGAGGCAACGGCCTGGTAGCCCTCATTGCAGGAGTACTCGCACTGAGACTCATACGAGAAATCGCCATTAGGGTGGACGCAGTGGACACTGCCGTGTTCGGGAGCAGATATTTCCTCCGCTTGGCATTTCACAACTGCAGATATTATAACAGAAATAATCAGTTAAAAGTGAATAGTTTCCAGGTAATAATGCAAAAAATCTGTGGTCAGCTGAACTCAGCTATTGTTTGGGCCATCATAGGTGGGAACTTTCCCTGTAGGCGACTAATAGAAGTTACTTTGGACAATGTTCTGACCGCTGCCACGTACCGTGCTCGCACTCTTTTCCATAGAAGCCCTCAAAGCATTCACACGTGTGGTTGTTGATGGTCTCCACACATTCTCCGTGGTAGCTGCAGGAGTCTTTCTTGCAGGATGCTGAGAAAATAAAGGACTATTTATTTATCATTTATTCTTCTTTACTAAAGCAGTGTTTCTTACTCCTGGTGACCCACAGCAACTATTCCCTACCCCTAGCACACCTGATTCAGCCCATGAGGGCTTTGTAATAAGCTGGATTAGGTGCATAGAGTAAAGCAAGACTTAAAATATGCACATATCAAAGACAACAGTTTACTGGAAATATCAGTACCCTTACAAAAAAAGTATAGTCATAGTTCATTTTATTAAGTAAACTTAAGTAAAGCTCAAGTATATTTTCCAAGTATATTTTATGTAGTAAGTATGCTAATTTCAATGTACTAGTAGTATACTTGTAAGTCTACTATTTCAGTACCATTTGGGACTAAATTGCCCCCTTTTTTAGTCTATAAAACATGCCACAAGTAAAATTATACCATATAAAACTATTGGCCTGATTGCATGTCTTTGGACTGTGGGAGGAAGCCAACATAGACATGGAGAGAACCCTGGTCACCCGGCTGGGGAATCGACCCCAGGCCCTTCTTGCTATGAGTCAACAGGGCTGCCATGCCCCCCTGATACTTTATAGACTGGCACTTTATACATCTTGATCAAAACATTAAGTACAAGTACAGGCTGAGTATACTTAAATTTTACTGTATACTTGTAAGTATAAGCCAAGTATACCTAAGTATAATTTTGCCTAGTATATCCCTGATACATAAAAATATACTGAAAGCATACTCACTTATTTTTTAGTTTAAAAGAAGTATACTAATAGCACACTTGAATAAACTTCGTTTTTTCTAAGGGTATTTTGTAAATCACTCAACACATCTGATAAACTTTTACTAGAAAGACACCAACAAGGGTTCTTTGCAGCAATGAAAGCCTTAGAAGAACCACTTTTCATTCCCTAAAGAATGTTTCAGTGGATGTTTCTTTAAAACGCTCAGTTGAAACCACTGAACTGAAAGAGCAGCAAAAAATATGACCTGTCTGAAGTTCCCTGAGGACCGGTTTAAAAGGCACTGTTCTATGGCGTCACTCAAAAGACCTTTTCCTCTCACCTTTACATCTAAGAGTGAGTATGAAATGAGTCCACTTACCGGTGTAGCAAAGTGCAGTCTTTTTCTTTTTGCAGGACTCATCGTTCCATTTGCCCTCGTCCTTTCCCCTCTTAATGTAGATCTCCACACAGTCCTCGTTGTTCCGTCCGTTATTGGGCTCCCCTTTTGCCCAGTTCTCAGCCTCCTTTGTCAGCTTTTTGTTAGTGCCCACCCAGGTCCAGCTGTTGTTGATCTTGCGAATGCCTATCCAGTAGTATCCTCTCACTCGGGGAAGGATGCTGTTGAGATAATTGATTTCACCGTGGTTCTGGATGGCCACCATGTCCGTGAAGCGCTCCCTACACCACTGACGAGCAGCATTCCAGTTCATGACATTGTCTGAGTGATGGTAGGACCAGCCTGTTACTGGGGTCCACTGAGGTAACACTGTGTAAGGAAGCAAAAGAAGAGGAGTTTGTTAAAGCTTTCATTCAGGCACATTACTGTACTCCAAATTACATCCAACATATCACTGTTGTCGGAAGAAAACCTTGTATCTCCAAAATGGTAACTTTACAGGAGAAGGAAAAAACCTACTTTACTTTTAATGTAAGTCAATGGAACCAGACTTTTTTCCGAGTCATTTTGGGCTATTTCTTTTGGTCCATTCATCATAAAATTTTTACATAATGTAAAGGGCAACTGGTATTTTCAAATTATGTTAAAAACTGAAAAACGACAAAAATAGAAATACGAGGTTTTGTTCCGACAGCAGTGATACGCTGTGACTTCCAATGGGTGAGTATTTCTTACTTAAAAATAGGAGGATAAAGGAGAACATTGGTCTGTGCATCTTGTGAAAGTCCTGTAAAAATGAAGCAGAGTTTTAGTGAAATTAATGTTCTATCGACCTTAAATGTTCTAAATGTCCAGCAAATAAGAGGCAAAATGGATTAGGACATCATAAGAGCTGCTTTCCATGTACTTACCATTGTAAGCGATGTAATCCTTTCAGCTATGTTTAATATATCACAGTACAGGTGATGCGTCTCAGTCAGAGAACTGTCTGGTTCTGAGCTCAGAGCTGTTGTGATGCTGCGTTTAAATAGGTGGTCCAGCTCCAGCCAGGCTTGCGCTTATTTTTCCAGGAATCTTAAAGTTACATTTACCCATAAGAGCTTTGGAATTCTGCTCACTGGAAATACCCTCTTCTGATCCACAAGAGGAGGAGGCTTTCTCTTCTTTTCACTTTCATTTTTCTCCTCTCTGGGCTACGGAGAGGAAACAAACGGCCTGTCAGGAAATCTCTCCCATGTTTTTATTCTGATATGGCAAAGGGCACAAAGGTTTCTGGAAGGTTCTGCTGTCATTTTATCTTGACAAACACTACCTGGGGAATTTTTGCTTCTGCAGCCCTTCCATCAGTGTGTCTCAGCCCCGGTTCTGGAGACCCACTGCCCTGCACACTTTAGTGCTTTTCCTGCTTTAACACACCCACTTTAATGAGCTGATTTGTTGGATCAGACGTGTTGGGAGCAGGGAAAACACTAGAAAGTGCAGGGCGGTGCAGGATTGAGAAAATCTGGTGTATATATATATATATATATATATATATATATATATATATATATATATATATACATGCACCAATCAGGCATAACATTATGGCCACCTCTTTGTTTCTACGCTCACTGTCCATTTTATCAGCTACACTTTGTAGTTCTACAGTTACAGACTGTAGTCCATCTGTTTCTCTGCATACTTTGTTAGCCCCCTTTTACCCTGTTCTTCAGTGGTCAGGACCCCCATGGACCCTCACAGAGCAGGTACTATTTGGGTGGTGGGTCATTCTCAGCACTGCAGAAACACTGACGTGGTGGTGGTGTGTTAGTGTGTGTTGTGCTGGTCTGAGTGGAGTATTTAAACACTGTCCACTCCATTAGACACTCCTACCTTGTCAGTCCACCTTGTAGATGTAAAGTCAGAGACGATAGCTCATCTGCTGCTGCTCCTTCATCAGCGGTCACAGGATGCTGCCCACAGGACACTGTTGGCTGTATATTTTTGGTTGGTGGACTATTTTCAGTAAGAAGGACGTAAAAGATTTTTAAAAAGTAACTCCAGTACTTTGTTAATATGTGTCATGATTAACTCTATAAAACTAATCCAGGACTCCAAACCAGAATTTCCACAGCCCTGATTTTCAGCACCACTAGTGATTGTATTTTTTGCAGTTCTGCTTGATGACACTGCCTGACACCAGTTTCCTGTCAATCTTTAAACAAGCTTTAAAGTGGTCTCTAGGGGCAGATGGAGCCAGTCTAGGATGTGACACTACTAATGACCACTGCATCCTCACCAGTTCTGCAGTGACCAGTTGGCAAACAGAATTCCTTCCACCGATATAAATATCAGTGCTTTTTGCATGATATCATATCATATCTATGATGGGTTTTGTTGCATTTTGCAAAATGCATTATAGCTCACTTTTTTCAAAAAAGAGGATGATATCTTGTGAGATTGAAAAACAAAGAACCAATCAGGGATTTTAAAAGCCATTTAAAAAGCTATTTTTATATGCACAGAATTTACAATACATTATATGGTACAATGCATCTGAGCGCAGAAATTTCAACCCTTTGGAATGAAAATCAAATAATTTTGTCATTCAGAGAATTAAACATGTGTTTCATGTCATTGACAGTTAGCTTTGATTATAAACCTGAATTGCATTGTTATTTTTTCTCAATGGCTGGCCTAGTCAAGTTAAAGTTTATTTATCTAGAGCCTTTTTCGACAGGTGTTGTCATAAAGCAGCTTTACAGAAAAATCCAGGTCTGAGCCCCCATGAGCGTCGCCAGTGACGACAGTGGCAGAGAAAAACTCCCTAAGAGGAACCAAGACTCAAAAGAGGAACCCATCCTCCTCTGGTCAACACCGGATAGCAAACAATAACAGCAGAGAATAAGGTTTGACCATTAGTATAAGACACGTAAAAGGGGAAAAGCAAGAGACGCAATGTCTAGGACTACAAATGCAGCAGTATCATCAGGAGGGTCAGTGGCATGCAGGTGAGGTTTGCACAGCATTGTTCAGCAGGAAGCTCCATGGTGGTCAAACCCGATCAAGGAAGATGAAGCAACAGCATAAGACGTACAGGATGGGCAGCTGTTCAACTCGGCAAAGTAAAAGAAACTGTAAAGAGAAACTGATTAACAGAGCAGCAGAGACTCCGGCAGGTCTAATTATTACAGCCTCACTAAGAGGGAGAAACCAGAAAGGTAACAGAGACATGAGGCTCCCTGAGATGTCAGCTCCCCTCCGCCGCACCGTCAACAAACCTGAGTGAGTGAGAGCAGCAGTGCTGGAGTTTTTAAACACTGTGTCCACTCACTGTCCACTCTATTAGACACTCCTACCTTGTCAGTCCACCTTGTAGATGTAAAATCAGAGACAACAGCTCATCTGCTGCTGCACAGTCTGTGTTGGTCATCCTCTAGTCCTTCATCAGCGGTCACAGGACGCTGCCCACAGGACGCTGTTGGCTGGATATTTTTGGCTGGTGGACTATTCTCAGTCCAGCAGTGACACTGAGGTGTTTAAAAACTCCAGCAGCACTGCTGTGTCTGATCCACTCAGACCAGCACAACACACACTAACACACCACCACCACGTCAGTGTTACTGCAGTGCTGAGAATGACCCACCACCCAAATAGTACCTGCTCTGTGAGGGTCCATGGGGGTCCTGACCACTGAAGAACAGGGTAAAAGGGGGCTAACAAAGTATCAGAGAAACAGATGGACTACAGTCTGTAACTGTAGAACTACAAAGTGCACCTATATAGTAAGTGGAGCTGATAAAATGGACAATGAGCGTAGAAACAAGGAGGTGGTCATTATGTCATGCCTGATCGGTGTATACAGTGAGCCGACCACTGTGTTGTTCTCTGGCTGCAGCTTTAAGACAGGACTCTTTGTTCTGAAGGTGTGTTACGTGCTGGGAAGAAAAGCAGGATGTCAGTGCTGTTAGTGGAGTACAGGTACTGCTGCTACTGGAGGGACCCCCTTTGGGATTTTTACATGAAATGCAGCACGTCAAGAAGTTGGACCTAACATAACATGACTACAAAGCTCTGTAATATGGAAGCACATTACAGGCAGAATTCATAGAGAGATGCTCTAATGGATTAAAACAAAAAGTAAAACGGCAGCAAATCCTATGATTTTATATCCTCCCCTTATTTACAGATGGATTTTTCAGAGTTAGCTGGAGGTTTGCTAAACAGCTGCAGTAACAGTCTCTACTCTTCTGGGAAGGCTTTACACTGGATGCTGGAACATTGCTGTGAGGATTTGATTGCACTCAGCTACCAGAGCATTAGTGAGGCCAGGTACTGATGTTGGATGATTAGTTCTGAATCACAAACACAAAAGCTAGCTCCAATAGCTAAAGTTATATAAGTTAGATAAGAATTTGTAATACTACATACATGAGATCATGTCAACACAAAACACTACTCAGGCATAGTGTTCAGCCTACTTCTGACACCAGGAGCACATCTTAGTGTGTTGTTTCTCTTATATGCCATTTTTGGCACAAACTGAAAATTGACTCAGGCAAATACTGGCATTTGGTATAAAAGTGATAGTTCCATTCGTAAAGAGGTTCAGATGGTTTATTATGATTTTATTACCTTTATCAGCTATATAGAAACAATACAGTCCCTGTATCACCTGGTTTGAGAGCTGCATTGTCTTTTAGGATAGTTTTTAAAGTTCGTTTATTGTTTTTTAAAGCTCTAAACGTCCGAGAACCTGCACACCGCATTTAATATCTGTCTGTTTATGTCCTAGTATGAAATCTTAGATCAGGCCTCTGTTCTGCTTTTATGATGCAGTTAAGTTCAGGACACATTTTTAAGAAACATTTTAAAGAACATATTTCACCTAGTCTATATTTAAAATACTGTTGTAATTCATTTTATGCCATTTTATCTTGTTTTATTTATTCTGATCATTTTTTCTTTTCTTTAATTACATTCTTTGTTCTGCTTTTGTGTGTTTTTGATTTTATTACTTAATTTCACTGTTCAGTTGTAAAGCACTTTGAGCTGTTTCTTTATGAAATTAATTAAGTTTAGTACATAAACTTTATTATTATTGTTATGAAACTGCAAACTGAAAAATTTATCCCATAAGTCGTATCACTGTCTTAACAGCAAGTGACATGATTGAACATCATAGGCAAAACCAAAACAGTCCCACCATAGAGTGAAAAAATAACGTATTACGTTTGCAGTGATGTTAAAAAAGGGGAAAAAGAAAAAAAATAGAAATGTATGAGGTAGATATGGACTGTTATGGAAAAAATTGCTTGCATTTAGAGCTGCAGTCCATCACATCTTCAATGAAAACAGCCCACTACACTGGCTTTTCCACAAGAGCAGCTGTTTGGTCTCCAGATGTTTCTTTAGTTTTTAGAGCTTAAGTGGCTCACCGGATAAGGTTGAAGCTACACTCTACACACTGGGCTTCTGGATTTAGCATCATCACAATCAAAGTAATAATAATAAACTGTATTTGATCTCTTACCTGCTTCTTTATGATTGGTCTACCAATTTGAGGTTTAATCAATCAATCAATCAATCAATCAACGTTTATTAAACCTCGGGAACATTGAGGGTGACCCTCATTTACAATGTTGCCGAGTTGATACAGGAAAAGGGATTGATAGTGTGTAAGAACCTATCAAATAATAAAAGTAAATTTAATAAATGACTCAAATAAAACAATAATTAGAACGTAGCTAAAATGTAAAAGTTAATAAAATCAAAAGAAATCAAAAGTATAAAAAAAAGAAACTAACATTTAATTAATATAATAATAAAATAATCATAAAATGACTAAAATAATAATAAAATAATCATAATTAAAATAAGAATGAGAATATGAATAATGAAAAATAAACAAATAAATAATGAAATACTGAAAATAAGACAATAATAGTAAAAAATCAGGTAAAACAGTGTGAGGCAGAGTGGAGGTGTTTCAGAGAGTAAGAGATTAAAATGACTGAGTGACCCAGCGAGCTGAGCTGTAGTGTGTCCTGTAGTGAGGGTCCAGTTCGCTGGTGCTCTGGAACTAAAGGCAGATTTTCCCAGTTCGGTGAAAACTCTCAGTACCTGGCCTGTCATCCAACCACTGAAGCGAATCTGATAAATACCATTGTTTACAGATATCATCGGAGTAATATATGCTGGCATACGACAGAAGAGTGTTTCCCACCGAGCTGCTAGTGAGGGTCATCCTTTTCATACAGTTTGCAGTGATGAGTGTTATAAGGGTCTCCAGTGGTTTGAGGGACCTGGCAGGTGCATGTTTGTAAATTACATCACCGTAGTCCATGACCAACAGTTCTTGCATACATGGGGAAACAGGATTTATTTCTATATAGGTAACCAAGCTTCTGTTTACAATTGCCAACCAGTTTATTAACATGGAATTTAAAAGTGAGTTTATCATCCAGCCATATGCCAAGGTATTTATACTCTGTGACTCTTTCAATGCTGGATCCTGCCAGGGTAGAGATATTTACAGTATTAAACTCAGTATTAGTAGATCCACTCAGATCGCTGATGCTGTGCCAACATTCAGCTGTATATTGCAGACAATTAACCACTATAGACTCAATAAAAGACAGCAACTCTTGTAGGCTGCTGTAAACTATACATGCCGTCCTATGCATAAGTGACACCCCAGGCCAAATGACATTATTTTACATGTTGATTTTCTAAGTCAAAAATAAGTTAATATACTCTCCACAGGGGAAAAACTTCAATATGGCATTTTTTACTGCACATTTTAGTGCAGAGTTACTATTTATTTACTGAGCTGACGGAGCTCCATGGAATATCTTTGGGATGAGTTGGAGTGGTGTTTGTCCTGCAGAACATCATCGAATATCAGCACCTGGCCTCACTAATGCTCTTTTGGCTGAATGCAATCAAACCCTCACAACAACGTTCCAACGACGTGCCTTTCTAGAAGACTAGAGCCTGTAACTGCAGCAAAAGGGGGACAAACAGCCTATTAATACCTTTGATTTCAGAAGAAACACTGGATGAGCAGGTGACTACAGACATTTGGTGTACAGATGTTTTATTTAATTTTTGAAAATAAATTCATACATCGGCATCAACTTCAGTATTGCATAACACAAAAAATAAACAATGTGCATTCAGTGAGGCATATCTGAAATACTAACTACGAAATACATATAAAAACATACATTAAAACATTATATAAATAATATTTCACTCACCCACATTTTAATAATGTCTGACGCTTGTTGTGAGCTGCTTTTTTGCCATTTAGAAATCACTAGTCAATACTGACAATGTGCGCTTTTAAATGGCTGAATCACATTAGCTTAGTTTTCTGAACCAAATAAATACATCACAGTTCTCAGGATAAGATACAGTAGTCGTGGTAACCGTCATAAATATATTCAGAAACATAAAAAAGTCCCTAAAACAAATACATAACTTGTCATACATCTCAAGATTCATGCATCTACTCACAAACAATACAGAACAATATGTTCAATACATTAGAAAATATATACTTCCATTAGGAAGAAGACAGTATTTTAAATAATTAGTGACGTCCTGTACAGTCTATTCATTTAAGTGCAGTACAGAGGATCGAGGATCAACCTCGATGTGTTCACTCTTTTATTCATTTCTTCATTCTCTGAAGAGGACGTCCATGCAGGACTGACCGGGGCAACGCAAGTAGAGCCCTCTGTAAAGAGAAGAATGGAAAAACTCAGCTTCATTCAACATCACTGAATGACCCAATAAACAAGAACGCTAGACTGTGTTAAGTGCAACTCTAAGGCCCAATCCCATTTCACCCCTCGCCCCTACCACTGAGCCCTTAACCCTCTGTTTTGCGCTTTCACGACTAGGGGTAGGGTGTCCCGATTCTTGTTGAGATAGAGGGGGAGGGTGAAGTGTTAGAGCTACATGACCCTCCAAACAGAGCTTTTTCAGCAACTCCAAACAGAGAGATATGAGAAAAAAAGAAAAACCGGCAAGATGGCTGAACAAGAGACCAAAGAAACCCACAAATGTGAGAATTTTCTCTGTTAAAAATTACGATAACCACTGTATTATCTTAGTTTAATGTTGTTTCAGTGTATTATGGTCCTTTTCTTCATAACAAGCATAAAAATCGCTAATAGCATGCTAACGTCTCGGTAGCTGTCTAGCTAACTTTCCCATTCCACCTTAAATAGTCCAGCAGTTCTGATGCCTGAAGCGCCAGAATGTAACTGCTGTACCATTTAAGGTGGAACGGGAAAATTTGAACGAGAAGCTGGTGAATATCTGACTTCAGCTTCATATCACTGAAGAATTAGGGGTGGGTGATAATAAATAATTGCCCCCCTCTTTGAAGGCATATGATGCCCTAAATGTAACTAAAGCCCAGCAGTGAGGAGCTGAACTTTACCCTCCTCTGCTGTCACTGAAGACGGGCCGGGTCGCCTACAGAGCAGCGCTAGTAGCTGTTAATGAAGTAATGTTTTATTTGAGGGTCCCATTTCAGAGGGAAGATTTCAACCACTACCCCTTGTAACTCAGTTCCCTCAAAAACAAGGGGTAGGGGTGAAAAGAAGAAATGGAATTGGGTATAACTTTGTGTTACTACATTTAAGGCTTTTATCGTGTTCATTATACTCACTTAGTGTAGTTTGTAGCCACAGTTTCTCTATATTAGACTGTCGATGCTCTTGTATACTTGGGAGGGCACATCGATGTCCGAGTTACTGTAACACATAAACATTGATGAGTCCAACTATAGTAGCTGAGACGAATAAGGATATCAGGTACAATAACAGTTTAGGTTGTGTAGAAAACCGTAACTCACCTTACGTCAAACTTTTCAGCTGTAAGAGAAAAAAAATGAAAATAATTAATATTAGTTTTTAGTTATTCACATTAATACACTTTTACCAACATCCTTATATATTTATTTTATGTATTTTTGCCTAAGATTAATCACACTTCCATATCACTGGGTTACCAAAAGAACTAAAAAATTACGAATACATTTAGTCTGCTCACCTTTCTGCCTGAGTTTCTTCATTATCCAGAGAGCCAGAGCGAGGCTGGACACACTAACGCCTCCTGCTAGGGTCAGGCCGGTCACCAAGGGTGGACTCAACAGGGGCTCAGGAGGAGCTGGACACAAAAAGAAGGAAAAATAAGGATCATTAATATGGGCTGTACTTCATTCTATATCTTTCTAAACAGGCAGCTCAAGTGTGGTTTGATTGTCTTACCTTGGCACTCAGCTGCCGCTCCAGACCAGTTGCCGGTGAGGTTGCATGTCACCACCTCATCGCCGAGCAGACTGTAGCCTTTCAAACAGCTGAAGGAACAGGAAGTGCCGACGGTGACCTCCTCAGAGGAACAGGTCATGAGGCCATTGTCCGGCTTCTGGAGGTTCGGACACATCACTGCTGTGGAGGGGCAGTAGAGAGGGGGAGACTTTAATAAAACTCAGAGAAGCTCTCAGCATATTAGTTTACTTACTTAATAACTGTGCAATAACTGTGTCAATGTCATTTTAATTAATGTGGAAAAGATGTAGACATTTTAATCCAATACATTTAATTCATTACTTTCTCACTGTCAACAATTCAACTAGTATATTTACCAGTTGGTGCTGTGAGCCACTGCTGACTAGTCAAGGACAGTGGCTCATTTTAACTGGCCAGTATTCTACACTGTCTTTGCATTTTATTTTTTTCCTCTGAGATGCAATTTTGACATCAGTTAATGTACCAAAAGAGGCGTAATTTCCTTTATATCACCATTTTCCAATCTCTTAATTCTCTAGAATAAATCAGTCTGTTTTTTGTTACTGTGCCTTTGAGGCGTATGTATGCAAATGAACTCTTTTCTGATTGGTTGCGCTCTGTATATCATTCAAAAGGAAGTTCAGACTGAAACACTCTGTATAATGTCTACTTCAGTGGGCGGGGCTGAATGAATTCTGAACAGGCTATTTCTGCAGATTGGACCATAGTTTCTCAGCTCCCTTGGTTATCGGCCTTTCAATGCCCATAAACAGTACAGCAGTGGCACAGCCAATAGTTGCATGAAGTAAGAGGCTCTAGAAAGCAGTTTATTTGTTGCGAAATGTACTTTGTTAGCCTAGGAATACACTTGAAATGCAACCAAATTCTTCTCCTATACATCTATAGGCACCTTAAAACTAAGCATCCATTGCTAACTGCTAGTAGGATGTAAACAGGACGGCTGACATCAGTGAGTTTTCATAAAGCTCATATTTGAAATGACAATCATGGAGCGCACATGCTAACTGAACAAGACTGCAGAAAGAAATGACAGAGTGATATTCTGCTGTACCTGTGCAGCTTGGGGTGGCTGTGCTCCATTCTCCTGTCACTGTGCACTCAGTACTCGCTGCCCCCTGGAGCTCAAAGCCTGCCTCACAGCTGAAGTAGCAGGTTGAGTTGACTGTGAGGTCGTCTGAGCTTCCGCTGCATCCAAATGTTAGGGGAGCCTGCACATCTGGCAGCTTGCATCTGATAGCTGGGAAAATATATGTACACATCAGTGATGGTTCAGTTGGTGGAAAAGATTCTGTTTGTTCTACCAGGATTTTAATAAGTCTGGCACATTGGCTTATGTATATATGAACATTCAAGCTTATAAAGGGTCAGGTTCTGCTTCTTACCTTCACAGTAAGGTACCTCCTCGCTCCACTGTGCAGACACAGTGCAGGTAATTTCTGGTGCCCCCTGAAGTTGGAACCCATCATTACAGCTGAAGATGCAGCTGCTGCCGTAACTATCACCACTGCAGTCGATTCTGCCGTTCGCAGGGTCCTCAAGAGTTGGACAACGAACAGCTATAGGACAGAAATTATAGACTAAGCCAGGCTGACGTGCATCTAGCATGAAGAAATGTCAGGGTAAATAGTACTTTTTTAAAGTGTATGCTAATTCAGCTTCTTACGTTCACAGGAGGGCTGAGAGTCGTTCCAGTGTCCACTGGCTTCACACATCAGCTGGCCAGAGCTTGGGCCTGTTAGTGTGTATCCGTCTTCACAGGTAAACTCACAGGAGGACTCATAGCCAAAGCTTTGCAGTGGATGCTCACACTGCATGGTGCCGTGAAGAGGCTCAGTCAGATCAGAGCACTGGACAACTGTAAAAGCAAGAACAGCATAACAAAGATGCTTATTCGTCAAGTATTCAGTCTCAAAGTGCGAAATAAATTGTGTAAATAATCTGCTTTCTTACCTTCGCAGTGAGGCATGTTCTGGCTCCACTCTGCAGATTCTGTGCAGGTAATTTCTATTGGCCCCTGAGGGTGGAACCCTTTATTACAGCTGAAGATGCAGCTGCTGCCGTAACTATCACCATTGCAGTTGATCCTGCCGTTCGCAGGGTCCTCAAGAGTTGGACATTGAACAGCTGTGGGACAGAAAATACTGGTCAGGTTGATGTTCACCTAGCTAAAAAAAAAACAGAGCCTTGGAAACCAGAAATTTGATCATCATGTAGATTTCTCAAAGGATTTAAATCCAATTTATTTACTTTCAAGCACGGAAGGTGTTCAGTTGTTTTATGCTTCAAGAGTTTCATCGAGTTTAAGGGGGGCACCGTAAATCTTTACAGCAAAATAAGTGTAAAGGTCCACTTTGTCGTTGTTAAATCACAGTGTACCTTTTGAGGTTTTTACTAGTTGCAGCTTCTTACCTTCACAGATGGGCTGAGAATCGTTCCAGTGTCCACTGGCTTCACACATCAGCTTGCTGGAGCTTGAGCCTGTTAGTGTGTATCCTTCCTCACAGGTAAACTCACAGGAGGACTGATAGCTGAAGCTTCCCAACGGATGCTCACACTGCATAGAGCTGTGAAGAGGCTCAGTCAGATCAGAGCACTGGACAACTGTGAAAACAAAATAACAGAGGCATATGGATGAATTAGATAATAAAAGAAAACATCTGTGACAAACATGTCTGCAATTTTTATTATTTAAACAAAGTCTACTCACGTTCACAGGTTGGCGGTTTGGCTGACCAAGCTGCTGAGGCTTCGCACCGTGTTGTTTGTGAGCCAACGGCCTGGTAGCCCTCATCGCAGGAGTACTCGCACCGAGACTCATACGAGAAATTGCCATTGGGGTGAACACAGTGGACGCTGCCGTGGTCAGGAGCAGAAATTTCCTCTGCTTGGCATTTCACAACTGCAGAAAAGAAATAATCAGTTAAAAGATTATACCTTCCAGGTAATAATGAAAAATCAGTGGTCATAGAACTTGGCTATGGTTTGGGCCATCATAGGTGGTTACTGTCCCTGTAGGCGACTAATAGAAGTTACTCTGGACGATGTTCTGACCGCTGCCACTTACCGTGCTCGCACTCTTTTCCATAGAAGCCCTCAAAGCATTCACACGTGTGGTTGTTGATGGTCTCCACACATTCTCCGTGGTAGCTGCAGGAGTCTTTCTTGCAGGATGCTGAGAGAAGAAAGGACTATTTATTTATCACTTATTCTTCTTTACTAAAGCAGTGTTTCTTACTCCTGGTGACCCACAGCAACTATTCCCTACCACAATACACCTGATTCAGCTCATGAAGGGCTCAATAATGAGTTGAAGAGCTGGATTAGGTGTATTTTTGTTAAGGAATAACTGAAATTATGCCTTTCTTGAAATCTTAAAGCTCACTGGAAGTAACTTCAGTCAAAAGTGGGTCTTTTATGGTAACGTTCATAGGACCCGAGTGTTTCTAAAATAACCTGCGCACTTACCAGTGTAGCAAAGTGCAGTCTTCAGCTTTGTGCAGGACTCATCGTTCCATTTGCCCTCGTCCTTTCCCCTCTTAATGTAGATCTCCACACAGTCCTCATTGCTCTGTCCGTTATTGGGCTCCCCTGCGGCCCAGTTCTCAGCCTCCTCCGTCAGCTTCTTGTTAGTGCCCACCCAGGTCCAGCTGTTGTTGATCTTGCGAATGCCAATCCAGTAGTATCCTCTCACGAAGGGAAGGAAGCTGTTGAGGTGGTTGATTTCACCGTGGTTCTGGATGGCCACCATGTCCGTGAAGTGATCCCTACACCACTGACGAGCAGTATTCCAGTCCATGGTGCCGTTAGAGTGATGGTAGGACCAGCCTGTTACTGGGGTCCACTGAGGTAACACTGTGTAAGGAAGCAAAAGGAGAGGAGTTTGTTAAAGCTTTCATTCAGGTTCATTACTGTACTCCAAATTACATCCAACACATGCTATGATTTTCAACGGGTGAGTATTTCTTACTTATAAAGAGGATGCAGGAGATCAGAAACCGTAAGTTGCCTGTCTTGTCAAAGTCCTGTAAAAATGAAGCAGAGTTTTAGTGAAATTAATGTTCTATCGACCTTAAATGTTCTAAATGTCCAGCAAATAAGAGGCAAAATGGATTAGGACATCATAAGAGCTGCTTTCCATGTACTTACCATTGTAAGCAATGTAATCCTTTCAGCTATGTTTAATATATCTCAGTACAGGTGATGCGTCTCAGTCAGAGAACTGTTTGGTTCTGAGCTCAGAGCTGTTGTGATGCTGTGTTTAAATAGGCAGCTCACCTCCAGCCTGGCGTGCGTCCACTCTTCCCGGAATGTGTGTGACATTGACCCCCCCAAAGCTCTGGAATTCTACTCACAGGAAAAACCCTCCTCTTTTCCTCAAGAGGAGGAGGCTTTCTCCTCTTCTCACTTTCATTTTTTTTTCTCCGTGGAAGAGAGGAAGCAAACAGCCTGTCAGGAAGCTTGCCTTCCCCCCTTCTCCCATTTTATATGCCAATATGGCAAAGGACAAAAAGGCTTCCGGATGGTTTTACAGTCAAAAATGTTAACGACAGCTACCAGGGAAATGTTTGCCTCTGCAGCTGCGGTTAGATAAACCCACGATGGTCTATATAAAAGCCCACACAGTAACTGTTTTTTAATGATAGTGGTTATCAGTAACTTCTGGGTCATAATAAATTATGCTGTTTCATTGTCTGAAGGGAGAGAGTGTCATAGGCTAAAAACTCACTTGTATAGTCAAGCCTTTGGTAATTAGCTTTCCCTGTCAGTTCTACGCCTGCCGGAGTCTCTGCTGCTCTGCTAACACTGTAATCTGTGATCAGTCACCCATTACAGAACTGACTCTCTGTGTGTTTTTCCTTTCTTTCTTTTCTTTGCCGAGTTGAACAGCTGCCCATCCTGTGCGTCTGATGCTGCTGCCTCTTCTGCCTTGATCGGCTGCCACTGCTCGCCAGCCCTCTGGACCAGCTTGACCACCGTTGACCTTGCTGTACAACGCCGTGCAACCCTCACCCTCACAACCTGACCCCACTGATGCTGCTGTTGCTGCATGAACTAAACTAATCAAAAACATAAACTAATCAAATTAATCAATCACCCATTACAGAACTGACTCTCTGTGTGTTTTTCCTTTCTTTCTTTTCTTCACCGAGTTGCCCATCCTGTGCGTCTGATGCTGCTGCCTCTTATGCCTTGATCGGGTGCCTCTGCTCGCCAGCCCTCTGGACCAGCTCGACCACCATCAAGCTCAATGCTGTACTACGCCGTGCAAACCTCACCCCCACAACCTGATCCCACCGATGCTGCCGCCGCTGCTGCATAAACTAAACTAATCAAATTAATCATTTGCTCCACCTGTTTTCCCCCTTTTTGTACTATAGTACTTTATACTAACAAGGTTTACTATCTGGTGTCGACCAGAGGAGGATGGGTTCCCCTTCTGAGTCTTGGTTCCTCTCAAGGTTTCTTCCTGTTTCTCTTAGGGAGTTTTTCCTTGCCACTGTCGCCACTGGCGACGCTCTTTGGGGCTCAGACCCGGATTTCTTTCTGTAGTGCTGATTTCCTTGTAAAGCTGCTTTGTGACAACACCTGCTGTAAAAAGCACTATATAAATAAACTTTACTTGCTCATTCATTTATTTTATTTCCAATCAAAAAAGGCAGGAAACATATTTAAAGGAAATTATATAGAAACTTCATAAACTAAATATTAAGATGTCCAGTATTTACTGTGTCAATTTTTTCCTTTGTTACAACATCCAATCTTTTCAGCTTTCTCTTTTTTTGAAGAAATCTGCAGGGATATTTTTCCACAACTCCAAAGTTCAGTCTTACAAATTGGTTGCTTTTTTTTTTTCTTAGCATTTTCAAGTAATCAAAGATTGTTCTGAGAACACCAGCAGCTTCTTTGTTTGATTCTTAAATTTCCTTTTTTTGGCTATTTTCCTTCTCTCAGTGAGGTTCTTCTTGACAGCTACACATCCTTTCAGACCCACAGCGCTGAGTCGTCTTCTCACAGTGGAAGGATGGACAGAAACACCTGTGGATGTTTTCAGATCTGAAGCAGCTTGATTTTCTCCTCTCTCTCAGAGATGAAAGTTTTAAGTGCTGTTTATCTGATGGGGGCAGTTTTGGTGTCGACCAGGTCTTCCAGGTGGTTGTTAGGAAAATTCTCTCTGTAGCTTTTAACCATTTTTTTTAACTCCAGCTTTGCAAACTGAATTAATACCATAGCCGATGGACTATTTCACAAATTTGTTTTTGGTATTTTTATATTTTTTATGTTATTTTATAATCGTATATAGAATGTATATAATATAATATATAACCGTGTCATTAATTGTTGCTTGTTGTCATATTTCTCTGCAAATGGGTCAGTTACCCCAACTGTCCTTTTCTGATAAAACATACCATTTAGTATATATTTGCAATATAGACACAAATCATATTTAATACAGCATTCATCATACACTTAGAGTAAGAAGAAAGTACACAATCTTAAAGAAAATAACTCCAGTACATTGTCATTCATGTGGAATGAATTAATCTAAAAATAAAAATGAATAACTCTATAAAAATAGTCCAGGACTCCCAGAATTGCCACAGCCCTGATTTTCAGTACCACTAGTAATTGTAATTTTTGCAGTTCTGCCTGCTGACACCGCCTGACAACAGTTTCCTGTCAAACTGTAAACTAAATGGTCTCTAGGGGAAGATGGAGCCAGTCTAGGATGTGACACACAACTACTGACCACTGCATCGGCGCCAGCTCCGGAGCGTCCAACTGGCAGAGGGAATTCCCTCTCCCATCTCACATAGAAATAATTAAAAATTAATGTTAAGCATGAATATCTGTGTTTTTCTATGCATTCTCAGAAATATCATAGGTAAATAAAAGCATAAGTAAGCTGAGGCTGCTGTATTAGAGTGTGTGTGTGTGTGTGTGTGTGTATGCAATGCCCTCCACAAATATTGGCACCCCTGGTAAACATGAGCAAAATGGGCTGTAAAAAACATTTTTATTGCTGATCCTTTTGACCTTTCATTCAAAATGTTAACAGAAATCTAACCTAACTTCTATTTGAAATACAATCATTGAAACAATCAGGATTTTCTTCTTAAACCTGTGTGTGCCACAGTTATTGGCACCCCCTGCTTTAATACTTTGTGCAGCCTCCATTTGCAAAATAACAGCTCTGAGGAGAACACATGGCAAAGGATCTGAGACCGTTCCTCCACACAGAACCTCTCCAGATCCTTCAGATTCTGAGATCCACACTGTGGACTCTCCTCTTCAGCTCACTCTACAGGTTTTCTGTGGGGTTTAGGTCAGGGGGCTGGGGTGGCCATGGCGAAAAACCTTAATTCTGTGGTCAGTGAACCATTTTTGTGTTGATTCTGATGTGAGATTTGGATCATTGTCCTGCTGGAAGATCCACACTATGGCCCAGTTTAAGCTTCCTGGCTGAGACAGTGAGGTTCTGATTTTATTTCTGCTGGTACTTGATGGAGTCTCTGATACCATGTATCTGAATAAACTGTCCAGGGCCTTTCAAAGAAAAACAGCCCCACAGTATCACAGATCCACCACGATACTTCACAGTGGGGACAGGGTCCTTTTCTGCATGGCCCTCTTTGTGTCCACACCAATCTCACCTCTGCTGTTTGTTGCCAAAGACCTCTATTTTGCTCTCATCTGACCATAGAACAGGGTTCCAGTGAAAGTTCCAGTAACATTTGGCAAACTGTAGGAGCTTGAGTTTGTTGGTTCTTGACAACAGAGGTTTTCTTCTGGCAACCCCCCAAAACCACCTGTGGTTATATAGGTGGTGTTTGATTGTGGTTTGGGAGACATTCTGACCCCAAGACCCAACTAATGTCTGCAATTCCCCATCTGTGACCCGTGGAGATTCTTTGTCTACTCGATCCATCCTTCTCCTGGGGTCAGTAAAGACATACGTCCTCTTCCCGGGGGATTATTAACATCGCCAGTTGTTTTAATCGTCTTCATTATTGACCTGTTTAGCTATTTTCTTGTAGTCATTTCCTGATTTGTGCAGCTCAACAACCTTTTGTCATACATTGTTGCTGTTTTCTCTGGTCTTTATCACAGTGATGGATGACTCAGGCAATTTAGCCTGTGTTTCATCTCATATATCCCGCAGTGCAACAGGAAGTCATGGCTGACCATTTAAGTGTTCCTAATCGCTCAGATGAGCTTTAAAACATTAAATATGAGTGGAAATATACTTCAGTTAGATTCTTAAAAAATTTTAAGGGTTCCAATAATTGTGACACATATAGAATATCAATCCAGCCATCACAGAGATTTATTTAATTCAAATAAATGCTAATTAATTCAAATATTTAATGCAAATAAATGCTCACTTCCCAGAATAACAGCTTTTTAAAGTAATTGTCTCAGGTGGCTAAATATTTTGCACATTATTGTAGATCAAATAATTTACAACAGTTAAAAACCAATCAAGGATTTTAGGAACCATTTAAAAAGCATTTTTATCTGCGTAGAATGTACAATACATTATACAATCCAACATGTTCAAGCACAGAAATGTCAACTCTTTGAAAAGAAAATTCCATTCAGAGAATTAAACATGATTTTTGTGTCACTGACATTTAGCTTTGTTTACAAACAGGCCGACCACTGTGTTGTTCTCTGGCTGCAGCTTCAAGACAGGACTCTTTGTTCTGAAGGTGTGTTACGTGCTGAGAAGAAAAGCAGGATATCAGTGCTATTAGTGGAGTACAGGTACTGCTGCTACTGGAGGGACCCCCTTTGGGATTTTTACACAAAATGTGGCACGTCAAGCACATCAAGCACGTCTGGGACGTCAAGAAGTTGGACCGAACATAACATGACCGCAAAACTCTATAATATGGAAGCACATTACAGGCAGATTTCATAGAGAGATGCTCTAATAAATTAAAATGAGTTGGAAAATGGCAGCGAATCCTATAAGTGACTTTATATTCTCCCCTTATTTATAGGTGGAGTTTTCACTGTTCTGTCCCATTTGTGTCCCCCTACTTTCAGAGTTAGCTGGAGGGTTGATAAATAGGAATATTCTTGCTTGTACCATATGGATCAGTGGGGTATAACCACTGCTGTGGTTACGTAACACTGCTCAACGCAATTGCGGTGAGGATGAAGAGGCAAAGAAATTTGTAAGAAATATTCAAAATAATCATAAAATAGAATATGAGCTGGGATGTAGGTGATTTGATGAGAGAATAATCCATTCTGTCAGCACTAAATTCAATAACATGACAGTTTTCCAGA